TATGTATGTATCTATGTATGTACTTATGTATATATGTATGCATATATACATACGTTTTTTAGTATACACATACATACGTGCATCCATACGCATACATATTTACATGTTGGTGCACACATACAGGTATTACCCTAGATGTATATACAACAGTACAATCTAACTCAAGGCGAGATGTCAACGTAGAGCCATCGAGACCGTAGTAGCCTTGAGAGGCAGAGCATGCACCCATGCGTGACACAACAATGGATCAGTAATTCGCTAAGTCCCTGAAGCCCAACTAACTTCAGCCGGGGTTTAGGGTTTAGGGTTTAGGGTTTAGGGTCAGCACCTGTCTCTAGGACTCATGCTGTTGCGCACAGACAGCTGCCCGGCCCAAAAAGCCCCCGGAAGGTCTTCTCTTGAATAGGGCAAACAGGCCAGTCGAGACGGAGCGCGATGGGGTGCAGTGGAAGCATTGAGATCAAGAGCGAACCCCAGGCTACTAGTAAGGCGATGGTGGTGCTCCTCGTGCCGGAGACTGTTGAGTTGTCTCCGAGGCGAGCAGCACCACCCAGTTTCGATACACATCGGCAGTATGTCCAGAAGCTCAACAGGTACCTCATCGATGTGGCCAAGAATCCTAATGCTTTCGAGAGCAGGGTGAATGTGCGCCGTGAAGCAAGATTCGCGGAGCTAGCCAAGGGCCGGTCGCGGCCCGTGGACACGCGGCACAGCATCCAGGCCGTGGCAGCCGCGTGATGGATTCACTCTTGGTATCAGTCGGGCATGCAAAATCATCCCGATCCTTTTCGTCCGTCGGCTTTGCGGACCCGAGTTCTCTTGGCAGACCGGAACATTGACTTGGAGCACGCTTCCCAAATCCGTGCATTGCGATGTCAAGTCTGCAGGAGGACATATTGTTGTCTCTTTATAACCGTAGTTTCCAGTGTCTCTCTGTCTGTAGATATCTCATGCCAACTGTATAGAATGCAGGCTCAGACAGGAGCATCTTTCCATCTTCAATGACTTCCATGTGGCCGTGCCAGCCGAGTGATGGACGCACTCGCGATATCAGTCGGGCATGAAAAATCATCCCGCAACATTTTCTCCTCACACGGCTTCGCTGTCTCAAGTTCTCTTGGCAGATCGGAACATCTACGACATCGAGCACGCTTCCCAATAACCTGAAATGCGATGTCAGATCTGCAAAGGACGATTTTGCTGTCTTCAAGACGGTAACATCCAATGAGTCCTTTCCATAGATATCTCATGTGCTTCCTGGTGGTGGCACCGCAAAAGAAATGTTCTGGATGCATGCTTGCACTGAGGGAGCCTTCTTGCTGTCGTTGTGTTGCCTATTTGTTCGGGGTCATCTGGTCTTCATTCAGTTATACTGTCATTATTGGTCAAGTCCTGCCGTTGTCGTTGTTAGCACGGCACATTGTATTTGATCTCCTTCCTGCCAATGGTTATATAACTATAACCAATGTTGCGCGACGGAACACGTTACAGCTGACTGGAGGCTTGTAAACCGAACGCACTCCTGAACCTGGACCCAGGACCTATGACCCCCTCAACCCCAGACCCTGTGCCCCAGATCCATCTTGCAAACTAATCAGGAACCTCCTGACAAGAGTCCTGCACTCCTGAACACCCCAAGCTTGAAACTCCAATCGCAAAACTCCGACACCCCAAACCCTAAATCCCAAGGTCCTCAAGTCCGTGAACTCCTAAACCCTAAACCCCATATAGCTGAAGCCCTAAGCCCCTAAACCCCGAAGCCCTAAACCTCTAAACAGCAAAGCCGCAACTCCTTTCCTTTGTTTTCCCAGAACCCAGAACCTCTAAATCTACAAGAATATGCTTTAGTACACTACATCATATATGCTGCAATATATCATGAGAAAATGGTTTTCATTGAACAAAATCTCTAATGATATGTAAGTCTTCTTTAGTCTGCCGCAAAGTGCCATGAACAGCTAGAGCGTATTGCAAGTAACATAATATGCTATAATATACGCCGCCCCAGGACTTCAATGGTTCTTCCGGGAGGCACCCGAGTGCAGTCTTCTTTAGTGGCTTTACTGGAGGCTTTCGTTTCGAGAGACGTGGCTACGCCTGGGTTTGGGCGTTTGTTTGTTTGTTTGTTTGTTTGTTTATTTGCTCGGATTGTTTATTTACTTTGGTTTTTTATTTATTTGTGTTTTTTTTGGTAGGGGGTGGTGTTTGAGTTTCAGCTTTCAGCCTTTAGGATGTTCAGGTTTAGGGTCTAGGGTCGACCAGCGTGATACGTAGGATGTAGGACGAGCATGTACTCACGTGAGCCCGTGTGTCGAAACGCAAGACTATCTTGCGAAGCTGTGTGACTGTGAATGCTAGAGCCTGAATTCGGAGCCCATGCCTCCGGCTGTTGTCGGTCCTCGATGGTTAGGCATAGGGGAAGCTCCTCTTCCTCCTCGGAGAACGGGAAGACTCAGGCTGGGCTATGTTCCGATTCAGGCTTCGATGATTTCAAGAAGTGACCACCGTCTGCATTCAGCATTCATTAGGATGTAGTCGAAAGCCGTATTATGGGTGCACACTCCTGCATGCCGAGACAATGTCAGTCTTTCATCCTTCACGCATGCGCGCTGCATCGTCATACTCGCACACAGCCACGACAGAAACACCAAATTGGTGCAAAGACTGACAGCGCCACGACGGTAAACACCACGACGACGAGGCACCACCACCGACGATGCCTCAACCACCGCCACCACCACCACCACCACCACCTCTTCTCCTCCTACCATTGTCCGCGTCTCCTCCGCCTGCGCTGCCACTACCACCATTCCCGCAACCGAAACTGCCACCGCCACCGCCGCCCCCACCGCCACCGCCACCGTCACCGCCGCCGCCGCCGCCGCCACTGCCAC